CTGCCAGATCCAGCTGACGCTAGCGACCAAGCAGTTGGAGCAGTCTTGATGCAAGACCAAGGGAAAGGACTACAACCAATCGCTTACCTCAGCAAAAAATTGCACGGGGCAGAACTCAACTACCCGATTCACGACAAAGAGGCCTTAGCGATCATCACCGCATTCAAGATATGGCGATGCTACCTCGAAGGGAGAAAGACCACGGTCTACACTGACCATTGCAGCCTGAAGTACCTAAAGACGCAGCCGACCCTCTCCAGACGACAAGTCAGGTGGATTGACTTCCTCGAGACGCACTTCGACTACGACATCGTGTACAAGCGGGGACATAAGAATAAGGCAGATGCACTGAGCCGGCCTGGACACGTTGCTGCCATACAGATTGAGGGGATGAATCCGCTACCATCGACCCTGAGATTCCCTTGGCAGAGAAAAAGAAATTGTTGCAGTGGGACCACGACGTCGCACTACGCAAAGGATCAAGAAAGATATGGGTACCCAACTACCCGCCTCTTCGGCAGTTGCTTCTCGAAGAATTCCATGACGTGCTCTACGCTGGACACTTCGGGAGTAACAAGACTCTTCCCGGGATTGCGAAAGTCTACTATTGGCCTAACATGGAGGACGACGTGCAGAAGTTCGTCACTTCGTGCGACACATGCCAGCGGATGAAGAGCAGTAAGCAGAAGAAAGCAGGACTTCTTCAGCCTCTACCCGTCCCGGAACAGCCTTGGCAAGTGGTCAGCTTGGATTTCATCACCGGTTTACCACGTACCAACGCGGGGCATGACGCCATCCTGGTCGTCATCGACAAATTCTCAAAGATGGGACACTTCATTCCGACACATACAACCGCACGCACGGAGGAAACGGCACAGCTATTCCTCAAACACATCATCTCACAGCACGGGATCCCAACAACCCTCATATTCGACAAGGATCCCAAGTTTACTAGCAAGTTCTGGAAAGAGCTCATGTCGCTCATGGGGACACGCCTAGCAATGTCATCTGCATATCATCCCCAGACCGATGGGCAGACAGAGCACTTGAACCAAATTGTGGAACAACTCTTGCGCGCAGCGTGCAAGGATGACATTCTTCCTCTATTACGGTCGACATCCGCTAACTCCTCAACAGCCGACAGTACCTGCAACTGTCCAACCCGCGCACGACTCCGTTACCACAATGCAGCAGCTTTGGGATCGGACACACAAGCGTCTACAGGACATACAGTCTTCACAGAAACGCTTGGCCGATCGCCATCAACGTGATCACACCATTGCGGTTGGTGACCATGTGCTTCTCGACACATGCAACCTCAACCTCGGTCACCTTCCATCCAAGTTACGACCTCGCTTCTGCGGACCTTTCCTCGTAGAAGAGCAGGCCACTCCAGTCACATTCCGCTTGCGCCTACCAGCTACTTGGAAGATCCATAACGCCTTCCACGTGCAGCTTTTTAAACCCTATCGAGATCCAAATAAGCTGTACACGGGACGCCAACCTCCGCCGCCGCCTCCAGTCCTCGTGAATGATGAACTTGAGTACGAGGTTGAATCTGTGCTTGCACATCGTCGTCGTCGGCATGGCGCCCTGGAGTTTCTCATACGCTGGAAGGGCTATGATCCTTCTGAGGACAGCTGGGTCTCTGAAGAAGGCATGAGTAACGCCCGACGTTCTCTCCGCGACTATCTTGTCAAGCAGGGTGTTACATCTACCACCCAGCTTTGAGGGGGGGAAGTGTGAGAGTACGCCGACGTTCGACATATTTCTCATTTCCATATTTTTACTCCATCTTATTCTCCTTATTTTCCTCTTTCATTTGCACTTTATTTCACCTCAATCGGACTACTATTCTATTTTCTAGAGCTTTCCGATTATTTCACTTATTTGGTATTTTCGGCACCGACATTTACATTATACGGCACCGACAGCACCGACAGTGGTGTACAAGGCGTAATCTCGCCATAATCCGAAGTGCCAATGGGCTTGCGTGCTTATGCGCACTTGTGATTATCTATTCTAGAAGAGCGCGTTCCCGAAGGTTCGGATTATCTGTTGTTTCTATGTATTTCCGAGTATAAATACGCCTTGTACTCACCTTTAGTGCAACATTCTCGAGTGGAAATTCGATCCTGTGACAAGCACCTCTGCAACACTAGCACCTAAGCTAAAAACACTCGAGTAAACAGAGTCAGAAGCACTAGAGTCAATAATAGTATACATAGTATGAGGAGTTCCTAAGAGATCAAGCAACTGAGAAGCAAACATGCCCCACAGGGCAGCACCGTGCGAGTGAAGAAAAGGAAGCCAGTCAGGGGCATGACCGTGGATGCCGTAGGCCGTACAAAGAGTGTCAGTGAGCTGACCAAAGCACTGACCCGCGGTGTGGCTGCGGCTACAGGAGAGGCCTCAGCGAGTACCTGTCTGGACGAGATAGGTGCAGAGAGGGTGGACGGCACCGCACGATAGCTGACGCGGTCCTAACCCCTTCCCGGATCCTGCTGCTGCCTCTGCTGCTGCTGTGGCTGCTGAGAGAGGAGTGGCTGCTGCTGCTGCTGTCGCTGAGTCGGGTACCAAGCCGCCACTCCAGCACCTGCAGCTGGCAGTCCAGTAGGTGCCTGACGTACCCGAGCGTCACCTCCACCAGCTGCAGTAGGGGAGTCACTAGCCGCTGCACGAGGTGCTCCTCCAACTCCTGCACTCCCGCCACTGCCGCTCACCATGCCACCTCCGCCGCCTCTGCCGCCTCCGCCCGCACCCTAACCGCCCCTCGTGCCACTCCTACCCCTAGACCGCGAAGAAGTCGTAGCAGCAGCTGCGGTCACGTAAGTAGCGGCAGTGGCGAGGGAGGCAGTAGAGGTGGGCAGCTGATGGACAGTGCACCCGTGAAACAATGGAGGGGGCACAGCGCCAGCGGCGGAGGCTACCGAGCGGAGGCTGCTCTCGACGTCCTTGAGGGCAGACACAAGGACCTCGATAGTGAGCTCGCTAGGGTGCTTCAGAAGAAGCGCGTCACGAACCGAGGCAAGGCAGGCAAAGAGGCTAGTAGCGATGAAATAAGTAGTGATCGCGATAGGGGGAGGGAGCAGTGCAAGCTGTGCGTCAGTGCAGGCAGCGCGATAGTTAGAATCGAGCAAGCGCAGGTGAGCGATCAAGTCAATAGAGCGCTCAAACAAGGCGAGGTCAGGAAACAGGAACGGGAGGAAAATTCGACCAAGAGAGCTAGTGGTGGGAGTAGCGTAGCGGGCCTTGATCGCAGTCAAGAACTCACTAGCAGTGGGAACCTGAGTGAAGAGGGTCTTCTCAGACTCAGGGAGGAGGGTGCTAAGGGCGACTTCCACGCTGTCAGGTCAGCACGCTGGCGTGCATAACGGTCTCTGTCTGTAGTGCGGCATGAGGGTCGGAGGGCGCAAGAAGGTCAGTGGAAGCGTGCGCCCACAAAGACTCGTCTGCCAACGCCTGACTCTCTAGGAGGCGGCGCGCACGCAGGAGCCAGACCGAGAACTCGAGCGGCCTACCCTCGCCGTCAAAGCGCATGACCCTAGGGGTCGCCATAACGGAAGCGAAGCGGTGGGAACTGCTGCTGCCGAAACCCTAAATGCCTATAGGGCCTGAGTAGGGCGTGACAGGCAGTGCGTGAGGCTCAGGGAACTCCAGGACGGCAGGGCAGGGCGCAACGGCAGAATGGGCAGTGCGGCGCGACGGGACAGGACGGGCGCAGCGCGGCGCGGCAGGACGGGACAAGACACGTGCGGTTCGGCGCTGCGCGGCAGGCAGGACGGGACGGGCGCGGCGTGGCGGTGCGTGGCAAGCAGGACGGGACGGGCGCGGCGTGGCGCTGCGGGACGGGCAGGCATGGCGCACGCGACGGGACAGACGGGACGGGCGCGACGGGCTAGATGGGACGGGACAGACGCGATGCGACGCGACGCGACAGACGGGCAGGACGCAACGCGACGGTCAGGGGCGACGCGAGGGACGGGACAGACGGGACGGGGGCGACGCGGCAGACAGGCGCAACGCGACGGACGGGATGGGGAGGGGGGGAGGGGGGGGGGGGGGGGAAACGACGGGGAAAGCGGGCGGGACGCGACCGGCAGGCGCAGCGTGCGCTAGGGAACGGTACGAGCGTGACTAACACTAGGGTACGGGACAGGCTCGGGCGTTACGGGCGTGAGCGGGAGGAACGGGATCTCATAGGATTCTAACCTAGGTGATACCATGTCAAGAACTGGATGGTGTTTTACTAAGGTTGGTTGGGGTACATCACTAAAGGCTACAACATTTGACATTTTGAGATTCACTAATTTTGAGTGGTTTCGGAGCGTGGTTCATCTGACGCCCTCATTGTGTCACGTGATTCTAGCAGCAATACTTGCCTATTTTCAAGCAAACGTATAAACACCACGGATGGTTCATTTTGTAACATACTAATGATTTCTGACATGTTCTACCTGGTTAGTTTTGTTAGGTTTTGACATATGACAAATCTGTTTGTTTAGATGTGCCTTTTTAGGCCTACAACTTCTACCGAACTCGTCGGTGTACAATCTGGCTGCAATCCTCGCGATTTCGGGTGCGACACTAACGCTCAACACGGAGCGAAACGGGCTCCACTGATCACGAAAAACACGAAAATTGCGCAGCCTATCACGTGCAGGGAATCAACAACTGGCGACGATTTCACAGTCCACAAGACAAGGGTACATGATGTGAAAGTTGCAGGTGGGGGGACAGGGTTCATACGCGCTGTGTCGTGGATGTTGTTTGGGCACGTTGTCGTGGATCGCAAACAGGTCAGCGAATAGAGCTTATAACGAGTACCCCGATTTGCGGTCACATTGCGGAACGTGTGGTCGTTTTGCCTGCGAACCCTACATCTGACGTATCGCAATTCATGAACGCAGGTTCATAAACGCAGCCTACGCAAGCTTCCGTAACAATAATTGCACTGGCTCATTTGCCCTTCTCCCCCTTCCCGTTTTCCTCGTTACAGCATGACTCGCTCGTTTCTCTTACAGCGCCTACAGACGCTCACCAATCAGCAAACTTCCAGCCAGCCGCCAAGCAGACCGCCTGACCTGCCGGCGGAAGCCGCGCAGAGGGCGGAGGCTGCACGCGCAGGCGGCGACTCGACAGCAGCGCAACGAAAGGGAGCAGCCGCAGCAGGGAGGGTTTCTGGGGAAGCGGAGGAGCAGCGCGGTGGCGTGCGGTTGGAGTCGGTTCTGGCCGCCAATTCCCTTGTCGCCCTGCCTGGTCGCCCCGCCGTCCCCCCTTACGCCTTCCCCTCGCCCTCCCTCCACTCTTCGCTCCTTGGCCTCCCCGCTCCCCCCCTGCCCACAAGCACTTACGAGCCTGCTGTGCCGGGCACTGGGTCCACAGGCAGAGGCAGTGCCATGCTCGCAGACACAGGCACGGGCACGGCCACCGGCACGGGAACAGGCATGGGTACAGGCACGGCCACAGGTACGGGCAGGGGCACGGGCACAGGCACAGGCACGGGCACGGGCACAGGCACAGGCACAGGCACTGGCACAGGCACAGGAACAGGCACAGGTTCGGGCACCGGCACGAGCACAGGCACGGGCACAGGGACGGGCACGGGCAGGGATTTGCGTGAGCGGTGGGAGCAGGCATTGCAGATCGGCAAGGGGCGGGCGATTTGGGACGACGAGCAGACGACAGCCCTGCTGGGGATCTTGCGGGACATGCTGCGTGCTGAGGGCTCCGCCCTCCCGAGCAGGATCGACTGGGGAGCGGTGCACCGCGAGTGGTTGCGGCGAGGATTCCCGCGGTATTCGGGGGAGCAGCTACGAATGCGGTGCAAAGTGGTGCGCGGGTGGGTGAAGGACATTCAGCTCCTCCAGTCGCTGTTGCCGCCTGAAGTCGCCTGGGACCCCACCACTCAGCGCTTTAGCCCCGACCCCAAGGTGAGAGAGGTCGAGGTGAGTGAGAGAGGGCGAGGTGAGAGAGGGCGAGGTGAGTGAGAGAGGGCGAGGTGAGTGAGAGAGGGCGAGGTGAGTGAGAGAGGGCGAGGTGAGAGAGGGCGAGGTGAGAGAGGGCGAGGTGAGAGAGGGCGAGGTGAGAGAGGGCGAGGTGAGAGAGGGCGAGGTGAGAGAGGGCGAAGTGAGAGAGGGCGAGGTGAGTGAGAGAGGGCGAGGTGAGAGAGGGCGAGGTGTAGTGTGCTAGTGTATGACTTCAAGATGGGTTTACCACCGTCCTCAGCCTCCTCTGCCTCTCCCTCCTCTCCCTCCTCTCCCTCCTCTGCCTCCTCTCCCTCCTCTCCCACCTCTCCCTCCTTTGCCTCTCCCTCTTCTCCCTCCCTTCCCCCTTTTTCCTATCTTCCTTACCCGTTCGCCTGCTTCCTCACCACCCCCACCCGCCGCTGCAGCTGGGCATCATTCCGCGGCTGAAGCAGCATGGGCAGTGGCGGCACTACAGGCGGTGGTGCAAGCACACGGCGCCCTGGCTGTCCCTCGCGCTGCTCAACGCCCACACTTGCCCTGCTGCGGCCCCGCTGTGGGACGAGGAGGAGTGGGAGGAGGAGGAGGAGGACGAGGAGGAGGACGAGGAGGGGGAGGAGGATTGGGAAGAGGGGGAGGGAGAGGAGGAGGATGGGGAAGACGAGGATGAAGTGGTGGAGGTGGAGGGTGGGGTGGAGGGGAATGGGGAGGCGGAGGAGGAGGAGGTTGAGGAGGTGGAGGGAAGAGGGCGGGAGGGATGGTGCGATGGAGACCGACTGCGGCGTGTGGCAGGGAGGTATAGGCATGGATCGGGAAGGAATGTGCGGAGGAGGACAGACAGAGGGGCGGTGGAGGGAGAGCGGTGGAGTAGTGGAGAGTGGGATGGTGATGAGTGGTGGGGGACGAGCAGGGGGAGTGCGGGGCAACAGGCAGGGCAGGGAGGGGATGTGAGGAGCAGAGGAGGTGTGAGGAGCAGAGGGGAAAGAGAGGGTGCAGAAGCTAGAAGGGGTGAACTGGGAAGAGCTGGGGTTGGCAGAGTTGGGGTTGGCAGAGCTGGGGTTGGCAGAGCTGGGGTTGGAGAGGAGGATGGTGGGTTAGGCTGTACAGTTGACGCACCGCGGGCCAATGGCGCTCCTTGTGGTGAGATCGCACGTCGCAATGTAACATTTGCTGACAGTGCTCGTGCTGACGTGGCTCGTGCTGACGTGGCTGGTGCTGATGGGACAGGGGGTGCAAGTGCGGATGAGAGGGACGAGTACCCTGCGAGGCTGGCAGCGCGGATCGCTGGCATGGCGGCGAGCAGGAGGGAGCAAGGCGGCACAGAGAGGAGAGGGGTTGAGGGCGAGGGAGGAGGGGGTGGGGATGGAGGAGATGGAGGAGGAGGAAATACACATGCATGGCGCGTGGGTGGGGCCCCAGAGGGTCGGAATGGGGTGGGGGAAAGGCGGGAAGGGAGGCGTGTGGAGGAGGGGAGAGCGGGGAGGGGTGTGAAGCGGTCGAGGCCGGTGTGGGTGCAGGTGAGGGAGAGGAAGCGGCAGCGGCGGGTGATGGAGAGTGTGGCACGTGCCCTTATCGTGTTCCGGGGCAAGGCGAAGAAGGGGCAGGAGCACGTGTATAGAGGTGTGTGGTGTGGTGTGGTGTGATGGGATGGGATGGGATGGGATGGGATGGGACGGGATGGGATGGGATGGGATGGGATGGGATGGGATGGGATGTGATGTGATGTGATGTGATGTGATGTGATGTGATGTGATGTGATGTGATGTGACGCGTGCACAGTGGTATGAGAAGAAACAGCCTTAGTGTGCCCGCAGGCATGAGTGTTTCGAGGATGTCTGCTAATAGTATTACTACTAAAAATGGTATTAGTGTCAATCACCCTCTTCCTACTGCCTTCAGAACCACCTCCTTTTCCCTCCCGTTCACCCTCAGACGCAGTGGCAGACAGTGTGGTGAGGGCGGTGCAGGACGTGCAAACCCATCTTCTAACTCCCTCTTCCCTCTACCCTCCCTGCCTTTCCACCGTCAGACCCAGTGGCAGACAGTGTGGTGAAGGCGGTGCAGGACGTGCAGGCCCTCCCCTCCCTGACGGACGCGCAGCGAGTGGCGGCCATCGACGCCTTCCTGCAGCGCCCCCTCGACGCCCACGCCTTCCAGGCCATGAGCCCCGCCCTGCAGACCCTCTTCGCTCTGCGCGCGCACACCCAGGCTGTTGACCAGCAGCTGGCTGGGATTCAAGCTGCCGCTGCTGCTGGGGGGGATGCGGCTCTTACAGACCAGCTCCTTGCGCCGCTGCGGGGCGTGGCTGGGGATATTGGGGTGGCGGGGGGGGAAGTGGGGAACGGAGCGGGGATGGGGGGTTTGGGTGGGGGTGGGGGTGTGGCGGAGATGGGCGCAGGGGGAGTGGGATTTGGGGGGAACGGGGTGGGGGGGATGGCGACAACGGGTGTGGGAGCAGCAGGGATCGGAACGGCAGGCATGGGAACAGCAGGGATCGGAACAGCAGGCATGGGAACAGCAGGGATCGGAACAGCAGGCATGGGAACAGCAGGGGTGGGAACAGCAGGGGTGGGAGTGAGAAGCATGTGGATGGCTGAAACTCGTAGAGGGGGAATGGGATCGGGGATACCGCGGATGGGGGAATCAGGGTTCGGTTGGAGGGGTTTGGGAACGGTAGGAGAAACGGGAGCAGGGATGGCAGAAGGTGGGAGTGTGGGTGTGGGAATGGCAGCAGCAGCAGTAGCAGCGGCCTCAGCAGGAGGAGCGAGGGGTGTACAGGGTGTGGACGGGGGAGGAGGAGGAGGACGGGGGGTGGGAGGAGGTGGAGGGGTAGGAGGGGCAGAGGGGGTAGGAGAAGCAGCTGGGGCAGCAGGAGCAGCTGGTTTGGGTGGCACAAGTGCGTTGGGCGGCGTAGGTGGGATGAGCAGCTCACAAGGGGCGGGCAGCACGGCAGGGCTGCAGCTGCTGGGGCATCGCGTGCAGGAGTTTCTGCAACAGAACCTGGGACCAGTCAACGCCAGTCAAGGGGCAGCCAATGCTGGTCAAGGGGGGGTGGCTCCAGCGGTGGTCAATGGGATTCAATGCGAGTGCCCTGAGTGTGTGGCTGCTAGAATGCGTCAAGGCACAGTCAACGCAAGTCAACAGATGGCCAGTACGGATCAACAGGCAGTGAATGCTGGTCAAGGGGCAGTCAATGCTGGTCAAAAGGGGTTGGCTGGCACTCCAGTGATGGTCAATGAGCATCAATGCGAGTGCCCTGAGTGTGTGGCTGCCAAACTGGCAGCCAGTATACGCCAAAGGGCTGTCAATGGGAGTCAACCAGTGGTCAACGCGGGTCAGGCAGCAGTCAACGCGAGTCAACCAGTGGTCAATGCGGATCCAAGGAGGGGAGTGGCAGCGAATCAGGTGGAGACAGCTGTCGGCCAATCAGGGTTCTGTGCAGGTCGTGTGGGAACGGCTGTTGTGCTACAGACAAGAAATGCTGGCCCACCAGTCAATGCTGGTCAAGCCTCAGTCAACGCTGGTGAAGAAACAAGAATTGCGGGTCAAGGAGCAGTCAGTGCAGGTCAAGGGGCGGTCAATTCAGGTCAAGGTGGGGGGTTGAGTAGTGAGGAAGAGTTGCTTTCAGGTGAGAATCTGAGTGCTGGATGGGATACGAGTGAGGGCGAGGATTTGAGTGAGGGGGAGGAGTTGAGTGAGGAGGAGGAGTTGAGTGAGGAGGAGTTGAGTGAGGGAAGGGGAATCGTGTGTGTGAGGGATAATGGAGCTGCTGCGTTTGAAGCGGGGGCACTTGAGTATGAGGGGTTGTGGCACGTCTGAGGGGGATGAGTGTGTGAATAGGGTGGGGGACATGGCTGTGGGGGGAGGGGACATGCCTTTGAGGGGAGGAGACTCTAGTGGAAAGGGAGAGACGAGGGGGACAGACGGGGTGAGGAGTGAGAAGGAGGGAGAGACAAGTGGGAAGGTGGGAGAGGAGTGGGAAGGAGGGAAACAAGGCCATCAGGAGCAATACTGTATGACTGAAAAAAAAAAAAGAGAGAAGTGCTGCGATCAGAAAAGATCGTAACCAGGATCACCTTAGGAAGGTTCGCACACTTCTAGTCTAGTGGTGGTGGGCCCTTGACCTCAATAGCAGAGTGAATGTAAAATGCTTGAGATGATAAAAACATGCAAATACAACGATATAAATAAGAGTACAGAGGAAGTCGAATCGACCTAGCTAGTCATGTACTCTAAGGGGTACATTCCCTTATTCAAATTCATTCCCAACCGTGCGGTGCGTACAATTACGAAACTGTTCCCGCCAGAATCCTTCTGCCTGCAGCTGCCCGATGCCGTCTGCTGCGACGGTCCAGATGCATCCCAATTGTCTGACGCTTCGAGTCAATTCTGACTCTTCGCATTCGTTCTCGATACTGCATGTTTCCTTAGTTGCGGTCGGGAGTGCACAGTAATGTTCTTATATATTACTATTCGTAACACCCCCCTTCACTCCTGGCCGCAGCTCGACTTGACCTGCTTGACCACTCCGCTGAGGTCGGAGCAATGCTGATACTGCTGGCGTGGCAGTCGCTTCGTGAGAAAGTCTGCTGCCATGTCACTAGTCGGGCAGTAGGTCAAGTCAACCTTGCCTTTGTCCACTTCGTCCTTCACGAAGAAATACCGCAGCGCAATGTGCTTGGTGCGGTTGACGAAACCAGGTTTGTTCGCGATGCGAATCGCGCTCTGGTTGTCGCAGTGAAGACGAAAGGTGGGCGAAGCTGGAATTTTCGCCTCCTGCAGAAGTTCCTGTAGGTAGAGACCTTCGCGAACTGCTACGGTTGCTGCGATGAATTCCGCTTCGGCTGACGACAAGGCAACCAGCTCCTGCTTCTGCGAGTTCCAGGAGATTGGTCCCGTTGGTTCGAGTCGGAACAAGAAGCCAGTCCTGGACCGTCGATTGTCGGGATCTGCTGCGTGATCGGCGTCCAGGTAGCCGATGAGGTTGAAAGATGGGGTTGGTGTAGTTGAGTAGCACAGCCCAATCTTGGGCGTTGAAACGAAGAACTGTAGGGCGCGCTGCAGGTCCAAAAGATTCTCAGCCGTTGGTTTGCGTGAGTACTGGGCCAGCTGACTTGAGATGTAGGAAAGGTCAGGCCTGCATGTGACAGAGGCAAAGAGCAAGCATCCCAGCTGCTACTGGTAAGTCTGAACTCCAGCAGGGGATAGGGCTTTGTTGTCAGGTTTGTGGTTTGGTCCCGGAGTTCGATAGGGAGTTGAGAGCGGTGCAGGCGAGATGTTGAACCGCTTCCCTAACTCCTCTGCGTACTTAGCCGCTGAAAGGTGAATGGCCTCAGGTGCGTAGGAGATGTTCAGGCCTAAGAACTGCTTCACATCGTAGTTGCACGTGATGTCGACGCGCCCCGCCAGGCTTTTCTCGAATTGCTCGAGTAACTCGTTGCTTGATCCCGTATAAAGCAGGTCGTCGACGTAGACCGTGAGGAGAATGTATTGGCCGCGGAAATCGCGGCGGTACATTCCTGGATCGTGCGGCATCTGCTTGAACCCGATTTCAAGCAGGATGTTGTGCAGATACTGCTGCCAAAGCCTTGGTGCCTGTTTTATCCCGTACAGGGATTTGCGCAGCTGGCATACGCGCAAATCCCCTTCGCCGTATGTGTGCGGCTGCTCCACGTAAATCACGGCGTCTACTAACGCGTACAGGAACGCGTTCTTCAAGTCGATCTGGCGGAGAGGCAGGTGCCTTGTGGCTGCGATGGCGAGCAGGATTTGGACGGAGGTGTGGCGGCTGACTGGGGCGAACGTCTGGTCGAAGTCGATGCCATGCCTCTGGTCGTATCCGCGTACCACCCAACGCGCCTTGAAGCGTTCGACCGTTTCGTCCGCTGCGGTCTTCACGCGGAAGACCCATTTGCCCGAAAGAACTCTTGCACCTTTGATTGCCGCACGGTCGACTAACACCCAGATGTCTCGGGATTCGAGCGCCTTGATTTCCGCGTCCATCGCCTCGCGCCATTCTTTGCTGTGTGGTCCAGTGAGAGCTTGGCGCGGGTTTCGCGGCTCGATGACACGTGGCGCCTTCGAGGTTGCGGTGTGAAGCCCGAGCAGCTGTAATCCTGAAACGGTGCTGTCGTGGCGACGTTGCGGGATGACTTCCTGCACATCGTCGTCATCGCTTTCTGGTTCAGGTGGTGCAGGTGATGCTGCGCCACTGCCGCTTCCGCCTGTTCAACCCATTCCTCCTCCGGAGGAATCGTCGTCGTCGTCGTTGCTGCTGCGATCTCCCCGTGTGAACTCGCCCCTGGTGTCCTGCTCCAGGATTGCTGCCGCAGCTTCGTCCTCGGGCGTTGCGTAGCTGTGCCCATCGTTTGCATAAACACGGTTTGCATTCGTCTGCTCGTCGTGGCGGAATTGGTCGAGGAAGAGGCGTTCGTAGAAAATCACGTCGCGAGCGTGGGTGGTCTTCTGACTGAGCAGGTCCAGCACGATCCAGGCCTTGTGCTCGTGGCTGATGCCGAGATGAATGCCCCAACGTGCGCGGCTGGCGAATTTCCCGATGGTTGACGTTGGCGGGCGGTATTGGACCATGCACCCCCACACACGGAGCATGGACGTGTCTTCCTTTGTCTCGGTCCACTTCACATGCGGGGACAGGTTGCCAGTGATGGCGGTAAGTTGTGCACCCGCACGGCGTGGTGCATCGCGTAAGTCCAGTAGATCGGCGACAGTTTTGACTGCTTCATCAATGCTCGCACCTTCGTCATCAGCGTGCGGTTCGTCCGCTCAGCTACGCCCTGCTGCTAGTGTGCGTAGGGGAGAGAAATATGGTGCTCGATCCCCTTTTGCGCGAGGTAACTCTGCATCTGATTGCTCCTGAACTCCTTTGCGCCGTCAGATTGCCAGATTTTCAGCTTCTCCCCGGATTGCCGCTGCGCGTGCGCAAGCCAGAGTCGGAACACCTCGTAGGCTCTGTCGCGTGATTCAACATTTACGATCCACACATAGCGCGTCCCGGCGTCGATGAAAGTAAGTGTGTACATTTCATCGTCGACTCCACTGTGCCCCACATTCAGGAAATCGCTGTACACCTTGTACAGCTTGGGGTAGCGGTTCGTCCCTGGCTCGAGCAGTGGGAACGGCTGGTGGCTTAGCGCAGCTTTGGGGCAGACGGTGCAGTTGCGCGGATGTGTCGTGCCTCTCACTTCGGTGCCGTCTGGGCGTAGCAGTGCCCCAGGAGCGAAGACTCCTGCGTCGATGCAGTTCTTCATTGTCGCACGCGAAGGATGTTCGAGACGCTGATGCCAGAGCGCATCGTCAGCGCGAAAGCCGGAAGTGCGCATGTAGCGTGCGCGAGCTTCTTCGGGATCCTCATCAGGTACAGGGGCAGGTGCTGCTGGTGCTTCTTCTGCTACTTCATCTTCGTCGTTGGCGGTAGTCAGCATTAGCGCCAGAAACTCTTTTTCGCGAATCTCAGAGAGGGGGATGTTATCCCAGGGATAGTTCCATGGAGAAAGGTGGGTTCGCGCGGCTCGGGAGCAGGTCTGTAGACGGTGCGGCGCGGAGTTGACGGTTTGTTGCCCCAGTTCGATGGTGTCCCAGGGGTCGCGCTGCGGTGGGTTGTCAGGAGGAGGTAATGTGAGTGGAGCGTGGCGCGGAGGACGACCAAGGGGAACAACTGCAGGTGTTGCTTCAGCTTCTTCTCCCCCCCTTTGTTCTTCGCGGGAAGTCCTCCATCCGCTGCCGTCGTTGCCAGTGGTACCCCATCCTCCGCTTGCGGTGGCCCAGGTTCCACCGGTGTTTCCCCATCCGCCGGTGTCACTTGTTCCCCATCCGCCAATGCTTCCCCACCCCCCTTCATTGGAGGCGCTTTCTTCCGCTTCGGCGAGACTTTGTTGGCGAAGCTCTTCAGCTTCGCGGCGCGCCAGTTCTTCTTCCTGCTCCACGGTAAGTCTCTTCGACGGGTCGCGTCGATGAGAGTAGATTTCCAAAAATTTCTCGTGGGTGTAGGGTCGCGGCACGCCATGCGCATCAAAGGTTCCGACGCCAGTGCCGCGTAGCATTCCTTGAAGGTGTTGGGAGGGGGGTCCGATGAGAGGGTGTTCTGGCGTGCCGAACACGCCCCGCGTGGTGACTTCAAGCTCTAGCTGTGACATTCCTTCCTCTGGCGGCGCATGCCGCTCGGCTTCGGCGATGGCGGCGAGTCCTGTCAAAGTATATATATGCTATATATGTTTAGGCTGTAGTGGGGTAGCCAATATGGGGTACAGCCCCTTTTAGGGTTTCATACTTGTACCCAACCCTTTCATAGTTCATTCATTCCTGCTGCTAGATTCTGACATGGTATCAGAGCACTAGGTCCGTAGAACCGTTTATTTTTCGGGCCCACCTACCGTTGCGGTTACCGCGCTACCCCACGTGTTGTCCTGCGCCTGCCTGCCTGCCTGCCCTGCCTTGTGACGTGCTGCGCTGCGCGCGCCGTCCTGCAGCCCTCGCGCTGCCTCCTGCTGCCCTAGGTCAGCGCGCCGCCCCTGCAGGCCCGTACGGCCCACGCGCCGCCCCTGTAGGCTCGTAAGGCCCACACGCCACCTCTACAGGCCCGTCAGGCCCACGAGCTGCCCCTGCAGGCCCGTCAGGCCCACGAGCCGCCCTGCAGGCCCGTCAGGCCAGAACGCGGCCCCGCCCTGCCTCTGAAGCGGCCGAGCCCAGCCTCTGACGCGGCCGCGCCCTGCCTTCGACGCGGCCGCGCCCTGCAGCAGTCGCGGCCGCGCCCAGCCTCTGACGCGGCCGCGCCCTGCCTTCGACGCGGCCGCACCCTGCCT